TTAGGGCATTGTGGGACTATGTGTCAAATGTGTATGATTGAGGGGCAACTCGTTCTATAAAAGCCGTGACTGGTCGCATGTGTCTTGTGACATCATTTCTTGTCTAAGCAGTCCCAAATAAGTACATTTTTGAGTATACGCCAAGACGAGCATCATATTTTCAACTTTTGTTTCATTTTGTAGACTGTGTACCTCAAATTTTTTAACTGAAAAAAAAATGTCTTCATCGGGAACTCTCCAGCTGAAACCTACACTCTTCAGTTTAGCAGGGACAATACTCTGTTTTTTTAATTTTGTCATTTTTGCGCATGGGATCGTTAAAGACACTGTCAGTGGTTCAAAGTATTGCTTGTCAAAGACATGTCTACTAAGTTAGCAAATGCTGCATTCGAATAGGGACTGTTCTATTCATTCTCAGAAATTTTGCAATCTTTTGACATAGAAATTACCCTTTTCTGCTTAAAATAGATATTCTACATTATAAGGTGTCGACATTAAGTTAGTAATGGAACTTGAATAACTTTGAAAAGTTTAATTTGTTTTAAGCCTTAAACAAAAGGTTGCCACATATGTAATATGATGGACACACCAACCTTTAAAGACAGGTCCCTTTAATGTTGCCTTATCCTCGGAAATCTTAAATATCTGCTCAATACTTATTGCTTTCCCCTAAAATAGCTGACAAATAATTAAAATAGTAGTTCTGCTTTAAAATTCATCTATTCTCCTAGTTATTCAAAATTATTAGAGGTTAAGCTTTTTCATGTCCAACGGCACATATTACAGTGTTATCCGGATTCACCATTATACGATGCGGGAAAATTGCTATTGTCAAATTCAATTTAAAAAAATAGATTCGTGTTTAAAAAAACTACGAGATGTGTTTGAAACGTCTAAGATATACAATGATTGATGTATTCATTGTTGGTCTTTAACGCCACTTTTATCATTATTTTCTATTTCATGGTGACCAACTTTTTTTGTGTGTAGAAAGCTGGGACGCCCGGAGAGAACCACTGACCTTCGGCAAGGAAACTGTCAATCCTAGTCAATTAAGATTGGAGTCGAACCAAGCTACCACGTGTAGGGTTCGAACTCTGAGATAAGCAATGTAGCAGTAATTTTCACTAATGAAAGAAACTTGTTTCTCACTTTATCCAGTTTTCGTTTGATATATAGTTTTATTTTCTATTATTCAAGTTGAAGAAGCCAAGACGTTTTAAAAACGAATTGAAGAAAAAAAGGTAGCCAAGTGCATAGTTCTTTCAAACATATTCTTTTATCGCTGAGATGCTGTCTCGTCACGTTTAGGAAAGGAATAAATGTACATGGTAAAATGTTTTATTCTAAGAAAAGGTTCTCGAAAACTGACACCACTAAGGTACTTGTTTTTGTTTTTCATTGACGGCATATCTGTCTTGTTTCAAGGACGTTTTCCTTACATATAGACGAAACCAACTGTACACCTGTTTTCGCTGACCTTATATGCCACTCGAAAAGAATGAAAAGAAGCTAGTAATTTATACGTTTCGTTATATGGATTGTTTCATTTGACTGAGTATTAAACTCAAAGTTTGGTGATTTTGTTGATCGCAAACATTCCATAGAGATACCACAGATACAGAGAGACCTGTTTCTTATCCTAACTTTCACATGGAAATAAACAGTGAGGGTTACTTGGGGACAACAACACAGACTATTTCAATTTACCATTTTTATGCAGACACATTTTATCAGCACCTGCATATATTTCAGAGTCACGTTTTTCTATACCAGCATTTAAGTAATAGATCGTTACTGACAGGAAAGGTTCTGAACCAATATTTCTTGATTATAAATTTAAAGTCACGTCTTCAAAAGTTGAATATATCGTTACTTGGTTGATTATTCGCCAGAATATTTGCGTCTCATATATATTCTATTTGTCGTAGCAACAAATCTGTATCCCTTTCTTCGTTTCTAGAAACACATGTACTGTGGGCAGAATTTAGTACAATATACATTTTCTCTTATTTATCACAAAATACGAATTACTAACTTCTTATTGAACGAGTAACCCGACGGTGCTTCTTTTCACTGTGGGCAAATTATCATTACATTCGAGTGCACCTCCAATGTATAGTTCGTCGTGCTAATATTTTTCTGTTAAAATCTATCGGCTTATGTATAGATATAAGAAGATGTGGTATGAGTGCCAATGAGACAACTCTCCATCTAAGTCACAATTTATAAAAGTAAACCATTATAGGTCAAAGTACGGTCTTCAACACAGAGCATTGGCTCACACCGCACAGCAAGCTATAAAGGGCCCCAAAAATTACTAGTGTAAAACCATTCAAACGGGAAAACCAACGTATATAAAAAACGAGAAACGAGAAACACTTATGAACCACATCAACAAACGACAACTACTGAACATCAGATTCCTGACTTAGGATAGGTGCAAAGAATTGCAGCGGGTTTAAACGTTTTAATGGTACCAAACATTCACCCTTATCTGAAACAATAGTGTAACATCACAACAAAGAAAGACACACTATAAAATATCAATTGAAATGGCTTAACTCAATCAAAAGACATTAGCTTGTTTTCAGGTTTTTTTTTCAGTGTTGTTAGTCTCTCTCCCGATTCTAATATACATGTATATGTTTAAAAATATTTTTGGGAAAGTCTTAGAATACGGGACATAGGTGTTCTAATCCGGCGGCGGCAGTGGCATACAGTATTTGTATAAAGCTTTATATTCCAGAAGGTAGAAGACCTGGTTGCGTCATACCTTGTATATACATGCCTAATGTTACGCAGTTTCTGTCTGTCATATGTCCATTGACCTTGACTTCATTTTCATGGTTCATTGACTGCCTGAAAAAACTGTTACAGTACTAGTATATGTTTTTGTTGTCCCCCCCCCCCCCCCCCCCCCGCCCCATTTGTGGGAAAAATTTGGTTGATTATTTAGGAAATCACTGAAGCATGACTGGAGCGGACCCCCTCTTTGGCCGTCAGTGCCCCCACCCCACCCTTTATGAAATTTCTGTATCCGCCACTGGAACTCCTCACTTTTTATGAGTAATATGATAGTTATATTTGGTAAATGGGATCCTTGAAAGGTCTATACACGTCTGTCACACAGGGTTCTGCCTCGACCTCATTTCAGGAATCAGTGATTAAGGTGGAAAGTACGTGATTATGGCTTATATCTGTAAAATTGAATGTCCTATTGATTTGTCAGTCTAATTTCTTTATTCTGTACATCGTTCGTTTCTGTATTCAGTATATATTACTACCTAATTCTTTTATTTTCTACAATTCTTTTTTTATACTTTTACACCCGTCTAGGTCAATATTTAAAAAAACTTCGTGTCTACACAACATAAACTATACACACTGGCAACACAAAAAAAAACAAATGACGGTCACAATACAAGTACATGTAACTTACTCAAACAGAAGGTACAAAAACATATCTTTAAGAAAATCCGCTATACACACGGGAGAGAAAGTTCTGAATAAAAAATATAATATAAATGGGGCTGGGTGGGCGGGTATTTCAAGAATTATAAATCTAAGTCGATTGACGCATCAACTAAATCAAAATTATGACCTGTTCAGAGAAAACTGATGAGGAGAATGACCATACGAATATAGTAATCATTGAAAGGAAAACTTTACTGAGTAGACTTGAAATTACAAGCAGGACCAATTGAAATGGACCGGCTATGTAAAATGTAAAATTCACTGAACCAATGAGAAAAAATGAATCACTCTAATCGTGCATGCGATTTAACTGAACCAGCACTAATGAAAAGTAAATTCTAATAGGTATAGAAAACAAATAAAAGATAAATGAATTTCAAATATGCATCTTTAGAATAAGAATTCTACAATTATTTTCTATTATTTACATTTTTTTAGTTAATTTTTCTCTATTCACTATTTTTTTAGGCCATTAATTTATTTTATATTCTGTTTCTGATAAACCCCATCCAGACCCTAATATATATTTGTCTCTGCTAGGACATAACATAAGCAGAGACATATTGTATTATATATCTCTGATAATAGTTACTATATGAATCCGGGTCCGTTCGCGCCCATTCACGTTCGCACCCTTTTTATTGATTTTGTCTTAAATAATTTTTCAATCGTATTTTGGTTAGTGTATTGCTATAAATATTTTTTTTGTTCATTGTTTTAAAATGAAGTGACTTTCTAAAAACGATTTTTGTGTTGAATAATTTTTTAATCGTGTACGTATTGCTATAAATAAGTTTTTTTTCATTGTTTCAAAACATGCAAAATAAAGTGACGTTTTTTTGTGTTGAATATCTTTTTAATCGTGTTTTGGTTAGTGTATTGCTGTATTTTTTTTTCATTGTTTCAAAATAAAGTTACTTTCTAAAAAAGGTTTTTTGTGTTGAATATTATTTAAATGTTAAGATACCAAACCGCTTTTAAACTCAACAACAATAACATTTTGAATCTTAATTGTTTTTACTCATACCAAGTTAAATACATGCTAATATAACTACATGCAGAATTTACATCAAGTTTAGCTGTGTAAACACCATATATAATTAACAGTAATCATAAATAATTAATCATCAAATCAATTTAAAACAATATTTCATTTAAAAAATTCAAAAATTGCCGAATTTTTCTTTATTTTGAGATAAACATCTTGAAAAACATCTTATAATTCATCGGGTTTTTGAATAAAAAAAAAAGGGTGCGTTCGGACCCAGGGGGCGAACGTGTAGGGTGCGAACGTGTATTGGGCGCGAACGGACCCGATACCTTACTATATTAGGTTCCAGGGGTAATGCATTACATGTATATGTAAATCAGATACATGTATATGTATCTGATTTATGAAATAAATGGGTCGATTTTAATTTGATTAATTTATATATATCACTATTTATGAGAGCGTTGCTCAATCAGAAAAAGTCCGAAACATTGCCCGGTTTGCATTACTTATTATCTATCCACCAGAACTTCCGGGGATGATTATCTGGTCCAATTTTTTTAATCATTGCCTTATTTGAGCCTCCTTATTTATGTACTGTCCTTGATTCAATTTTAGAGCCTAAACATATAAATCCAGGCTAAACGAAAGACTGTGAATTACAGTAAGATCTATTTATTGTTTGTAATTTTGAAAAGTCAAACGCAAGAGATGTGAGATTTTTTCTGCACCACCAATGGCAATGACTTTTCAGTTGACACTCATGAACATATGAGGAGAGAGGAAAAATGCGATTTTAAAGCAGATCTGTACTGCAATCTAAAAAAAAAGTTGGGATCAACTGAACTTGGCGACCACAATACTTGTATACTAGTATTGTCAACAATACTCGTATATAATTAATGTACAAGTATTGTATACAAGTATTGTCATAGTATTGTTTATATAAAATATAAATACATTGAAGTAGAGTAATTATTACTGCCTTTACTCAAAAATATTCAAAAGTAATGTAATGATTAGAAAAATATGTATTTCAGGATAGAAAATTAGAAACATTTATTCATTTTTTGTAACGAAATGGTCAGGGTAGGAATGGTTTTTGCCAGGGTACGAAATGGGAGGCAGGGTTCAACACTTACGCTAGTCCGCTAGCCCGAGGCTAGTAAAAATTAGGGAGGGCTAGTAAAGATTTCATCACAGTAGTCCGACGGGCTAGTCAAAATTTCACAAAATTTCAATTGTCAACAAATCCTAGATTTTTTGCTGACCTTAGCCGTTTTTATTGTACAGTTTATTCACGTATATTTTGATTGTCAGACATTCATAAAGCAACATACTTTTTTTTACATAGTCTCAATTTTTATATCTGCCTAAATGCATAAGAACAAAAAAACACCAAACAAGTTGTTGATAAAACACATCAATGAATAATAACAAACCCTATTGTTTTTTAAAATTTTTTGTACAATACTTGTACATTAATTATATACGAGTATTGTTGACAATACTAGTATACAAGTATTGTGGGCGCCAAGTTCAGTTGATCCAAAAGTTGGGAGGAAAATTAAATGAAAAAGTTGGGGACAATACTCTGAAAGTCCAGAAAAAACTACGTTTTCCTTAATTCAAAGGATTACATCTCATGCATTGTTAAATAAAACTCGAACAAATGCCTGGTGCAGGTGAGGATCCAGGATTTTGAAAAAGGGGGTCCCCCTGGAAAGCCAATATTTAGAGTGATACTTGTAAAAAGTCTTATGCATTTATCATATACATGTATGAATCTTCATAAGGGGGGAACCCCTGCCCCCACTCCGCCTCTGTGGTTGGAGTGGTTGAGTTATTATACACATAGAAATTCATGGAGGTTCAAAGTTACTCATGTACTTATCATGCTTATTTCATTCAATTATTAACAGTATTTGTACTGTCCAGCTGTCTTGACTGTGTTATTTCAGAATTTCCAAATTTTAATAATTTTATACTGGAAAAGTTCTTTCAGTTTCAAGCAATCCTTCATAATTATTAATTTAATTGAAGATTATTTGCAGGATGTCAACTATTATTTTTTTTTGTAATTTACAAACTAACCCCCCCCCCCCCCCAAAAAAAATAAAATATATATACATTTGTTCTGATATATATGATAGTGACTTTAAACATTTTGGTTGCCTCCATGGGATTTGAAATATAATATTTCCCTCAAATTATAGCACCACATGTCCATTTAACATACATGTACATTCTATTATTAAATCTAACCACATAAAAATGTAGAAGTGCCCTTTAACGTCAGGCGTCAAACGGTCATTTTTGGCTACAATTAGCGTCAAATTGGTTAAAATTTTACAATGATTTGTCAAAATATCCTTATCGTGATTCGTCAGAGGTCTCAAATAATTTTCGTTACCTTTATTTTTGGAAAAAATTCAACGTGATTCGTTAAAATCAGTCGATTTTTTTATCGTCCAAAAGAAAGTTAACAGTTTATCGTCATGCACCAAAAATTACCGTTAACGTCATTTGGCAAGAATTTTTACTGTTATTCATCATGAAGGTACCCCCATTACGACCCTCACATAGCACCAGGTAAATACATATATATACTTAGCACCATGGTACTATAAGGTCTTTTGGCATAACAGTGTGCTATCTGAAACCATTTTATAATAGAATATAACATAAATGTGGCGCTAAAATTTAGGGAAAACAGTTTTATTTCAAATCCCATGGTTTTATTTGAAAAAGCCTGGGAAAACACTGGATAAGATCTACAAATAAAAGAAGACTAGTTCATTTTTTTTTATTCACTGCTATGATCCATCTGTGCATTTTCAGGGTAGGACTACAATGCAATGACTGGTAGAGTATGTCCTTGTTTAGAAAGTTACTTGGGAATCAGGATGGGGGTGGACAGAAGGCACCCCCATCTGGTTTACAGACTATGGGAGTACAGCTACAGAGGAAGTTTGCTAGAGGAGTCCAGTATAACAGTAGGTTGCAGGAATCTCATGAAATATTTTTACATGAGTCCTGGGACTCAGAATTTTCAAATATAAGACTTTCAGTCATTGTGTCTTTACTTTTCATTCAAATATTTTTGTTGAACAAAATAACAAATCTAAATTGAGATTGCTTTCTTAAACATGTTAAACTTTAATAATGAAATAATAATGGCTAAATTGAGGTAATGTAATCTAAATGCATTTTTGAGTCATCAATTTAGGTCTGATGTACTGGTCGTATCATGCTTATTGAGAACCACATTGTACGAAAGGCAAAATATCTACAGTAGGTTAACTTAAGTAAATTTTGACATGTTTAAAATAGCATACAGTTTTAGTGAATTTTTAAGTAACAATAATATTGAGAAACAATTCTCTCCCTAATAGCCACAGAAAGATAACTTTACCCTCATTTCATATATTGACTTTGTTTTGGATTTCTTATGAGGACTAGTACAAGTGCACTTTGTAAATGTATAGCTATAATTCATGTCGTTTTCCAGATTATAGAAATTAATATTACAGTTTTGAAGAAAACAAAGGTATTAAGATATGCTACAAAAACCCAATTATCTAGCTATTCAACAAGATGCATTAATTTTAAAGACCAGACTGTATTTACTGTATCTAAACAGATAATATCGTTGATTCAGTTTATCAGAAAGAATATTTGAAATTTTGTAATAAAAGCCAAAGAAAAAACTTTGTTGGTAATTGAGACCAAGAAAAGATCAGTGTTGCAATGACAATAATGGGTATACATGATATATGTGGACCACCAATATAACTGTTCAACAAAAATATAACTTTTGTTAGGCTGGTATATACATGTATTCAGAATTTGCTCAACCATTTAATTCATATAACCATCAAAATGCGCTTTTTCTCAATCAACTTAAATTGATACATTGTATTCATGAAAATAAATGAATACATATTGCATCTTAATCTGTTTGTTAGTGTAAGTACATGTGTATGTACATGTATGTGTTCTGATAAATGTTTCTTTCTTTTTAGTGAAAATAGTGATTCGAGGAGACAGAAATGTTGGGAAATCATGTTTATTTCATAGATTACAAGGTCACAAGTTTAAAGAAGAATACATTCCGACAGAAGAAATTCAGGTATTTATAAAAAAACAATCCTACTGCTGAAATAGAGTTGAATTTGAATGAAATTAGTCTTTAAAATACATGCAAATGAAACCAAATATACATTCATATTAAAAATGTGGATACATGTATCTCAGTATTGAATGATTAAGTTCACTGAAAATGTTTTTAAAAAATGTGTAAGAATATAGTAGGTGTTTCAATAAACATAGATCAATGACTGCTTCAGTTTTTCATTCTAAAAGTGTTCAAGAAAAGAGTAAATTGGTTTGAAGTTGAACTTTTCCCAATAGGTTTAAGAAACACCAACCAAACAAAACAAGTTTACAGAAAAAAAACATAAAGAGGTTGCAATATGGCCTTCAACAATAAACAAACACCAAAACAATCTTGAAATCACAAAATTTTAAAAGTCATGAGGATCAAAGACCTTAGCAATCTGAATTTCTAAATTGTTCTTTCAGGTCAATTCTTTAGCAAACTGAAATTAAAGTGATCTTGAAATCCGATAAAATTAAGATAAGATTCTTTGTAAGATTAACTTTCAATCTATATAAAAACTTACATATAGATATAAGCAGATGATATAGCCTGGTGACCACAGTCAGAATTTTCAAAATTTAATGGTCAAAACTACTACATGGCTATATCATATATCATTCAACTTCCAAAACGTGTGTACTTTAAAATTAATTTGGTCGTCAAGAGAAAATATGGTGCAGTTTTTTCAGAAATCAAGATCAAAGGTCACTAACCATTTTAGTGAGAAAAAAACATTGAATATATATTTCCAATTTAAATACCCTTTTGGCAGCAGAATGATAGCAGACTGGCATATATATGTTTTCTTCCTTATTCAAGTTTTCATCGAAAAAGTTAAAAAACCATCATTCAATGATTGATTGATTGGTGTTTAACGCCACTTTCAACACTATTGTGCTATTTTGTGGCGGTCAGTTTTTATCAATGGAGGGAGCCAGAGTGCCCGGAGAGAACCACGATTTTAGGTAGGAAAACTGACAATCCTAGTCAATTCAGATTGGAGTACACCTTCCCCGTGCTGGATTTCAATATCACAACCTCAGTGTTGACAGGCTAGTGACACAGTAGTTCGACTACTTAGACCACTCAATCACCGAGGCCCCCATCATTCAATGAGTTTCCTGGGTAAACATATGCGATTTTACAAAAAGGGGGGTAATTTTCATTTTAAAAAGATGTATTTTTTTAAATAACTGTACAAAATGTATAGACAAATATGTATTTGTTTATATAACTATCTATTATACCTCAATGGAAGTGGAAAATTTGAATTTTGGGCATATAGGTTGAATTCGTTACATGCCAAACTGGCAACAAACGTCCAAACTTATTTTTGACTCTTACATAAATAAAGCTATATCAACACAACATCAGAAAGAATAACGAACATCCAAAAAAATCAAAGAAGCAATAAAACATCAACAAATACAAAAAATATCAAGTCCTAACTATATGAGGAAAACTAAACACTTTGCCCAATCAGGAGCCACACACAACTTTCCGGAAATTATCTAAGTTAATGATTTGGTAGTAGATATTTTGAAAGTTTAAAAAAAATTCTTTTTAAAGAATCTTGATCCATAAAAACTTGTGTATATGAAAAGAGAATTACAGTGTAATAAATTTATAGTAGTTACGATACAATTTATACATTAGAGCTTTATTGTATGGTGTTGGAATCCGGTGAAACACAAAATATTCCCGTTTACAGTACTTTGTACCTTCATAATTTGTCATCAAAAGGCTTTTGTGATTAGCTTTTATGAATAATGAACAAAGCATTGTGTTTGATGTTTGAATAAAATAAAAAAAAGGAAATATGATTGAGTGCAGCCATTGAAAAAAGGTCAAACTGCATGCCACTCATGATCTGCATTTTTAGTCAAATTTACTAGCTAAACAATAAAATTTTAAAAAACTGCACCATACGACTTCTTGACGACCAATCTTAAATTCAAGTAAAATCATTTTTCTAGGACTGAGCAAATTTTTAGTCGTTTAATATGAAGTGAAATTAAACTCTTAATAATCAACTTTTTCCTATTCCGTCACCGCACTAATATCCAAGTAATCAGCGTGTTACAGACTTATTTTCTTTGTCAATCTCCTAATTAGGTTTGCAATATACAATGGAACTATAAAACCACAGATGATGTAGTAAAGGTCGAAATTTGGGATGTGGTAGATAAAGGCAAAAAGAAAAAGAAACCTGAAGGACTTAAAATGGATAACTCAGTCAAGGTGATAAACAAATTGTACTGTTTTACATGATTTTCAACAATGATATGCATATTGTAAGATAGTGTACATCTTTGATATTAATTCTTATTGTCAAAGAAATTCAGTAGATAAAGTTAAATGTTACTCTATATCCAACAACTGCTAGATAGATGTTTTGTGAAAAATTTGGTGCACTGGAAAGAAACAGGAACTAACATTTATACTGTACCTTTAATAATTTGCAGCAAGTTGTAAATATTAAAAATGTTGGTCATCTAGTCATTTTCAAAACGGCATTTTCCCACAAAAAATGTGCATTTTGTTTATGGAAAAAAAATCATCAGTACACCATTATAGTTAATGTCAACGCACTGTTGTTTATAAATCTAAATGGCTTGTGAAACTTTTTAATTATAAATACAATTCCCTTGACAATTTTAGTTTGTTTGTTTTTCATTAAAAACCAATTTCCAGGATGAGTGGGAAATATAGTGGATCCCTAGGTCACCCAACTCTTTCAAAAATTATTCTGGGCAAGTAAAATCCTTCACAAAAGTTTGCCCCAGTGACAACATAAAATTCTCAACTTATCAGCTCCATAATAAAATACCAATCCAGGTTCCTGTATAAATCCAATTTAGATTGGGATGCTTGTCTTTCAATTTTGGACTGGCTGATGTTGCTTGATATTTTTATGTTATTCTTTTTCTCTCATGTGATTGTTGATGCCTGGTGGACAATGTTTGAATTATGTTGTTAAGCATTTATATAAAGAAAAATATGTTTAAGAACTGATTTTTTTGACTGTGTATAAATATTTTTAAGTATCATAGTATTTATTCACCGTTAATGTATTGTGAATTTTTTTTTTCTGGATAGTTCACTTCTATGTTATCAAAAACTTCAATTGTTTTCCGTTCAGAAGCAGTTTATGAAATATATGCTTTTTCTTTAGGATGCCCCTGATGAGCCATGTTTGGATGCAGAGTTTATGGATGTATATAAAGGAAGTCATGGTGTTATATTGATGTATGACATAACAAAACAATGGTAATTACAGAACTGTTTACTGTAGTCTATTTTACAATAATCTAATTTCCAAATACAGTTTATAGACTAGAATGGAGTTTTCCACAAAGTCATTCAATGTTAGGCAATCAACTTTTACAACATATTAAGGAATCGTCTTGTAAACAAGCCCAATTAAATGTTTAATGTGAAAAGTTTAGGATTACATGTATAAAAAAAAAAAAATTTTAAATGATTTTTTGTTTAATTTTTTTTGGCTAAAGACCATGTCAAAATAGTGTCTTGACTATAAAATACAATGAACTCTTGATTTTTTTTTTTTACATGTGTTTTTTCCTTTGTTCAAATGCTGTTTAGTTACTTAATCATAGCTGAAGGGAGCTTTTTTATGCCCTGTAGGCAAGAGAAGAAAGGCATTATGTTTTCATGTATGTGCTACCGTTGTCTGTATATCCTTCCAAACTGTATCAGGTTAATGTTTCTATTTAGGGTGGTCACATCAACTTGAAACTTAGTACACATATTCATTATGCAGTAAACTGTTTAATATATATAAACTAAATTAGTGTTTTGACCAAGATATAAAAGCTCACTGAACATAAAAATGTGCGAACTGGGATACATATTATAGTTTTTTAATTTTTAATTTTCTGATATCACATCTAAGAAATTATGATATGGTTGTTATGATTCCTCCATTTATTTGTTTACAGGACATTTACTTATGTAGAGAGAGAGATGGAGAAGGTTCCAGCACATATCCCAGTGTTAGTTCTAGGTAACCACAGGGACATGGGACATCATCGTACAGTCACGGAAGATAAAGCTCGTTATTACTGCCAGCATTATGACAGGTTAGTTCTAGGTAATCATAGGGACATGGGACATCATCGTACAATCACGGAAGATAAAGCTCGCTATTACTGCCAGCATTATCACAGGTTAGTTCTAGTTAATCATAGAGACATGGGACATCATCGTACAGTCACAGAAGATAAAGCTGGCTATTACTGCCAGCATTATGACAGGTTAGTTTTAGGTAATCATAGGGACATGGGATATCATCTTACAGTCACGGAAGATAAAGCTCGCTATTACTGCCTGTATTATGACAGGTTAGTTCTAGGTAATCATAGGGACATGGGACATCATCATACAGTCACGGAAAATAAAGCTCGCTATTACTGCCAGCATTATGACAGGTAAGTTCTAGGTAACCATAGGGACATGGGACATCATCTTACAGTCACAGAAGATAAAGCTCGCTATTACTGCCAGCATTATGACAGGTTAGTTCTAGGTAACCATAGGGACATGGGACATCATCGTACAGTCACAGAAGATAAAGCTCGCTATTACTGCCAGCATTATCACAGGTTAATATTCTTTAAGAATATACCACAGAAGTTTTCACAAACTTATGTCTTGTACATTTTGTGTGGGTATAATTATCACACAATTTATTTATGTGTCGATCACTTCAGTACAGCACATATCATTTGTGTTAGGGAAAATAAACACTACAACTGTAAGAAGAATGTTAATGTTTGAGCATTCCTGATGAGGGTAGGGGGCCTCGGTGGCCGAGTGGTCTAAGTAGTTACTACTGTAATCACTAGCCAGTCAACACTCAGGTTGTGAGTTCGAACCCCGCTCGTGCAGATGCACTCGACTCCAATCTTAATTGACTAGGATTGTCAGTTTTCCTATCGAAGGTCAGTGGTTTTCTCCGGGCACTCCGGCTTCCTCCACCAATAAAAACTGGCCGCCACGAAATAGCCCAAAAGCGATGCTTAAAATTGGCGTTAAAACACCAAAAATCAAATCAATCTGATGAGGGTGAATCAAGAAAAGTGTTTCAGACACACAAAATTTATAAAGTGTTATTTTCACATCTTTCTATGCAGTTCCAAAATCTACTTTATATTTATGCAGATGATCATCGAATTTGTGACAAGATTACATAAAAGCAAAAAAACAGTATTTCAGCTTTATAATGTATTTTTGGATATGTGATTAACGGGGATAATATTACGATAACATAAAATCCATGTAATATAATATGTCAGTAAACCTGTATGTGTGAAGTATACACAAATTTTATATTTTTATGTATAAGATTGTCAAAACCATAATGGATCAGCTCAGTATTAGTATGTTGACAAAGGTCCATATCCCCTGTGAAGATCCTGAATAACATATAATACAGTATCACATCAATGTTATGTCCATCATAAAAAGGTTTAACAGCTTTTATATAAGAAATTGTTAAAACTTATCTTTTTCTATATAATGATTTCATTTAAAGAACAGAGGGTTCAGGTGAAGTGAGGTATGCTGAATCTTCTATGTGTAATGGCTTTGGTCTGAGATATCTCTGTGTCAACATTTATTACATTTAATGATTTTTGTTTTCAGACCAGAGGGTTCAGGTGAAGTGAGGTATGCTGAATCTTCTATGTGTAATGGCTTTGGTCTGAGATATCTCTGTGTCAACAGTTTATTTCATTTAATGATTTTTGTTTTCAGACCAGAGGGTTCAGGTGAAGTGAGGTATGCTGAATCTTCTATGTGTAATGGCTTTGGTCTGAGATATCTCTGTGTCAACAGTTTATTTCATTTAATGATTTTTGTTTTCAGACCAGAGGGTTCAGGTGAAGTGAGGTATGCTGAATCTTCTATGTGTAATAGCTTTGGTCTGAGATATCTCTGTGTCAACAGTTTTTTACATTTAATGATTTTTGTTTTCAGACCAGAGGGTTCAGTTGAGGTGAGGTATGCTGAATCTTCTATTTGTAATGGCTTTGTTCTGAGCTATCTCTGTGTCAACAGTTTATTTCATTTAATGATTTTTGTTTTCAGACCAGAGGGTTCAGGTGAAGTGAGGTATGCTGAATCGTCTATGTGTAATGGCTTTGGTCTGAGATATCTGCACAAGTTCTTCAATCTGCCTTATCTACAGCTCCAGGTATAGTTTTCCTTTGAAGACTTTCAGAAATTCTGTAACTGAAGTTGCTTAAATCCATGCCATTTGGACTATGTTAAATAGATGTCTGGTTGGCAATTATACCATATATCTTATAAATTCATAAACTTTTCTTGTTATATAAAAATAAGACGATGTGGTATAATTGCCAATGGGACAACTCTCCATCAGAGACCTAACACCGAGGTTAACAAATATAGGTCACTGTACAGCCTTCAGCAATTAGCAAAACCCTAGTCTAAATCAGTAAAAATTAGGAAATAACAATTTAAGTAAACTCCAAAGTAATTTCTCGAGTCCGAAGTCCAAACCAATGCCAATATAAAATCAAGCTTAACAGCTGATAGTCTAAATGGGTAATGAGTCTACTAATGACGGTCATATCTCAATTTTGTATGAAAAACGTTCTTTAACTGTCAGGCTGTCAGCTTTACTTATCATTGTGGTATCAAAACCTTCAACTTGTATCATTTGAAAGGGTTCAACAAAGCACCATTCATTTTAAGAAGCTAGAGATTTGGGAAACACAACAACACCTTTTGGTTAGGTCAGTAATTTACAAATCAACAAAGAAGTGAAAAAAATTAAGACAAGTTACAGAAAACTTTAAATATTTTGAAGAAGGATACCAGAAACCATTGGAGAGGAGTTGTTGATATCTGAACTATATCTAATGTAGATTTCTGTACATATGTACATCCACTCGATGGGCATATCAGTATAGGGTTAAATGATTTTGTGTCAAGGCTATCTAAAACAAAAGTTTTCCCAAACTATGAAATAAGATTGTTTTTGATGGGTACTAAAATATTATGTAACATTTTTTCACCGGTCAATATTATTCATTCGAATTGACTAAGGAAATGATCTTTTAAACACTGGACATTATTCTCCAATTTTGAGTTGAAATTTCTAAAGTTATTTCGAACAATAATTGCAGCACACACAATATTTTTCACATACTGTTTAATGGTTTAGGAAATGAAAACATGCTTTGTCATAAATTAACATAAACATGTTGCAGGACTAATTGTTCTTTATTGTAACAGAAATGAGGGCAATATTATCATATCTTATATCTTAAAACAAAAACACAAAATATTATAACATGAAACAAAATGCTATATTGCAGAGAGAATCCTTATTGAAGCAGCTAGAGGTCAATTCAGAAGACTTTAGGTCAACTGTAGAAGAATTGGATATCCATGAAGAATCAGAAGAACAAAATTATGATGTGTAAGTTTGGGTAGACGAAAATTGCATACCAGTAAACTAACATTTATAATATTTGGTGTAACAGATGGAGACATGCTTCGCTGTGCAATGTCATTCCAGGTTTTCGTACTAATTTTAAACTTATTCTACCCTGTACACTGTTATAAAATATTTATACCCTCTAATGGTGATTTGTTATGCTTTTATGTACAGACACATATATTTTCTATTGACTGTATATTAAATACAAAGTAAAGTTTTCAGGAAATAAAGAATATGGTAATCTGTACCATGATAACTGTATAACTTGATTAAATTTAGTTTATCATAACTTATAAGTTATATATTATATGTACATTATTATTCAGGTTCATTGATAATTTAAGCAATAAAAGAAGACAGCAACAAGACAAATTTTCTGGGTCAGCTACGTCAGAGTCTGATCTCAAACAAGAGGTTATCATAGAGAACTCTTCAGCCAGTGGAGGTAAGAAAATTTTACTGGCATGGATTTGCGACTTATGTAGCTTCTAATGTACATGTGCAACTGTTATTAAGTATTGTGTGTTCTAATTAACGTGTTGTTAATTTTGATTTGGTGATTTTTTTAGATTGAATATGGCACATCTTGTCTACATAAGAAAGAAAATAATATTTTTTGTTGTGTAGCCATATTTGCAAATTTCCTTTTATCTTTATATTTTATAAGGAGATGTGGGTTATACACCAATGATTCAGAACACAAGACATTTAAAGGGCAACATACAATTAACAATATATGTTAACTTCTTAATCTTCCTGAGTCTATAAAAGTGCATATTGTTCAGTAAATGCAGTGACAATATTATGCATAATATGTAATCAAAATAAAATCTGATAAAAAAATATATGGTGAGAGTTAAATCTAATTTTACAGTAAAAAGTATGATTATGTAATAGTTTTATAGATGACTTTAAAAAAAGATAATCTGGGATTCTAAATATAGATCAATGTGATAACTGAATTAAAGAAAATATTGACTTTTTTATTTGTATTAATTTACTTGTAATCACATTAAATAAAGTTTCTAATAATTACATAATTGATGTTAATTTCAGTGCCAAAATCATTATCTATGCCGGCTTTACAACAGACAACTATTTCTAATAAATCTGAATCAAAAACACCAACAAACCAGGAATCAGTTCCTCCCGTTAGTTCTCCTGAAGAAAAACCAGCAAAACAAGTCAAATCACCAAATCAGACTCCGGCCAAACCAACAGAACCAGAGCAAAAAACTGGTTTCTTTTCCAGACTTTTTAAGAGTAAAGAAACTCATGTGGAGAAAAAAGATGTAAAAGGTAATGACAAATGGTACAACTTTCTTACCACCTTATGCAGAAAATGTGATAGCATACATATGATTGTACAGTAGACTCCACCTAATCGGATATTGGCTAAACGAATATATCGGTTATTGTAATATTATTTCAAAACACCAAACCCTTCCCTATATGTTTCATGTTAATTTTATCATGTAATCGAATATCAGATATAAGAATATATTGGCAAATAGGATAAGAATATTCAGGAAATTTTGTTCAAAACCATGCACAATCGGATATTTCAATGTTTTTTCTGACAGGAAATGTACCCGGAAGTTATGAAATTACAGTCTTGCAGACAAGAAAATTTAGTTTTGACTAAATAAAAAGGAACTATTTCTTAATAAATTGTTGTCTTTATTCATTGTCTTCCTTTGTTATGTGAATTAGATGCCCTTTAAATTCAAATGGTTTGAATTTATTTATAAAATATCAAGAGCAGTACGTTGCTGTTGGGAGAATTTTGATAAAACTCTAAATGCTCACAGAATCAGAAATATAATTTAAACTGAATGTACCTCCTTCTGAATGATTTATTGCAATATACATATAAATCCCTTTTGACAAGAGAAATTAGACTTTTGTCAGATAAAATTTTGTTACATGTGCATTGTTTACAAAATTTGAAGGAAGCCTCTAGAACCATGACCTAAACATAAACAGTCTTCAGAAAACTTAAACTTGATGCTATAATACTTTATCAATCCTGATTATTTTCATAAATTTAAATTTGATTATTTAAAAAAAATTAAATATCTAACAAATACGATTTTAGTTTAGAGACAACACAGAACATGCTTTGATCTATTTATAGCCGAAATTGGCTTACCTGTGATAATGTAAATAATGGATATTTATTTGTTTACAAAACAAATAAAGACGCAAACTATGGATGGTAGATATTTATTCACATAAATATTTTAGGACATTTGATTTATTTTAATAAATATAGGATTTAAAAACTGAAAACAAATATGAGCATTACATAACCAGCTGATAATTTTTTACACAAACATCGTGGTGATGTAACTGATAAAAATCACTCCAGCCCTTTCATATAAATAGCAGTGGTCAGGGCTAGTACCATCTCAGGATCAGGTCTACTCATTATTGCAGAATATTCAATGAATATACATTTATCGTCTATTTGAATATATCGAGTAATGGGATATTTTTAGCTGACATTTTGGGTATCCGATTTGCTGGAGTCTACTGCACTATGATTGATGAGAATAAAATTTCTTTGAAAAAAAATGTTTAAGGGTTTTTAATTGTTATGAGGCTGTTATATACAGTAGACTTTAGATTCTCAAAATGTCAGCCAAAAATATCCAATTTCCCCAATATATTCAATTAGACGATGAACATTTTTTCATCAAAGCTTCTGCAATAAATAGCTTGACCTAATCCTTTAGATGTTACTAGTGCCGACCACTGCTATATAAAAGGGTAAAGGTGATTACTTTCTTTATTTTTCACGTACATCACCATGATGTTCAAGTTTTTTAGTCCCCTACCGACGAAGTCGAAAGGGACTTTAGGTTTGCACTCCGTCCGTCTGTCCGTCTGTCCATCCGTCAGTCCGGCAAATCAGCTTTCCACACTTTTTTTCTTCGTTTTTGAAGATATTGATTTGATATTTGGTATATAGTTTTATCATGACAAGTTATAGACCAAGTTCAAATTTTGTTCCTGTCTGATGATTTAGTCCAGAGTTATGGACCATAACTCTAGACCATATCTAATGAGAGTACTATGTTAAACCATATTTCTGTACAAAGGGAGATAACTCATTTTTTAAAAGACATTCTTTGTTAAATTATTTGAAGAATTTTTTGACAGGTTTGTTTGTTAGTTATTATAAACTAATTTTCTGAATGCTATATATAAAAAAAAAATTATGAAGAGAAATCCTTTAATTAGATAATAATCTATTTTATTTAATGTATATATTTCAATACATTACATTGTGTAGATAAAAATTGTTGACATTTTATAGATAAGTTACAAATCTATATTAGTTTGTGACAAATGAAAGAAAAAAATATTTGGAACTATTAATTATATCTGATTATAATTTGAAAATAGATATACACTGTATTACATCATATTGGATTTTAGAGAACTATTAATCATATCTAATGTTTTTTTCATCATGCTTATAAGATATTGATTGATAATTGGTATATAGTTTTATCATGACAAGTTACAGATCAAGTTCAAATTTTTGTTTCGGTCTTAAAATTTTGTGCAGAGTTATGGTCCTTGGACTTGAAAAATTCACTTATATAATCAGTTTTCCACACTGTTTTTAGTCATGCTTGAAGATATTGACATGATATTTACTTTTTGTTTACACCATGACAAGTTATAGAACAAGTTAGCATTTTGTTCCAGTATAATGTATTTTTACCCGGTAGGGGACTATGTATTGCCATGCAATACTCTCAGAATGCTTGTTTTATGGAGAATTTATTCCCATAGGCATAAGATTTTTTTTAAATATGATCAAGCCCATGACAGTTCTTAATAATGCCTGAAAAGACATTCACATTTGATAGTCCCCTTATTTAATCTTTTGTGTTGTGTAAAAAGAGTTTCTGATGGACACCAACCTCAAACAACAAAAATTAAGATTAGAAGCATGATTTTCATGTGGAATTCTGTTTAAGAAAATGTATGTGTATAGTATTTAGTTTACATTTGGTGTTTCAGAAAAAATAAAGGAAGATGATCCAGTTACAAATGTGGATGAGTTCATTCCAGATGGAGGGGCAATTGATGCTAGCTTCTTGGATGATTCCAAAGACACTAAGGATAGTGGAAAAATTAAGAATGTGGAAGAAAGTGATAGGTATTGTGTTTTATCCAAATTGTTTCAGAAAATTTTGAGATAAGATTCTTTTATCTCTGGTTTCATTGAATTTTTATAATATTCCTAGCATAATTCTAAGTGAGCATATAGACACTGCTTTGTCTTTCTATCCCCCTGAAGCAAATTATTTGCAGATTTTTATAAATTACTTTTTGGGTACAAAACTAATACATGTACCTACCATGAAATGCATGAAATACAGGTCAAGTTTGAAATTCACTGATGACCAATTGGTTTTTGGGAGTTGAGACACTTAAATTGCCCTCAACTGGTTTCAGGACGATAAAATTAGTTAGCTATGAGCTAAGATCGTTGTAATATTGCAACCATCAAATACAGTTCAAAATAATTGATACTGACTGCTTTAAGTCTGTAATTATTATACTCCTACTCTTAACATTCGCCTTGCTCGTTTGTCCATTATTCTGTCTGATTGTCCAACAAATATTTTTGTCACACTTTTATCAGATACTACTGAACAGAATGACTTCATATTATGTCAGCAGCTTGTCAGTGCTGAGTTGTAACGTGTGAGGACCTTTTGGATCTGTCAAACACCACTTCTTGTTTGCCCACACTTTGAATTTTCAATATGTTGAAGAATTTATATTTATCGTCACACTTTTCTCAGGTACTACTGAACAGGATGACCTCATGTTTAGTCAGCAGCTTGACAAGGATAAGTTGTGACGTTTCGGCACTTTTCAGATCTGTCAGACACCTACTTACTATTTGCTGATATTTTCAATTTTTCAATATGATGAATAAACTTTAAATTTTTGTCACACTTTCCACAAGTACTACAAAAGTTGCAGCTCTTAAGTAATAATGATTTTTCATTCCACAGTGAGGATGAAGGTAATCCAATGGTAGCAGGATTCCAAGATGATTTAGACTCTGATGATAATTTTATTCCTACACAAGTTGCAAGTGATGATAGTGACTCTGATCATGATAATATGCAGATTCAATCTAAATCAAACATTCAAAGGAAACAGAGCACTGAGTCAGATGTAAATCATTTTAATAACACTGAATCAAACGCAAAAGAAATTGAGAGTGAAGACTCTGATCATAACATTCCAGTAACTAAGGATGAATCAGATATTGATGATAATCCAGTCACTCAGGTAACAGTTGCTGCTGATGATTCAGACATAGAAGAAAATGTGAACAGTCAAGTGTTAGTTACTGACGATGTGTCAGACATTGATGAAAATTTGGATAGTCATGTGACTGTTGCCGCTGATCAGGATATTAGTGACGATGACACTGTAGATAAAGACAAGGAAATGAATAATGTGACAGAAAATACTACAGCAGACCAACGACTTAGAAGTGATTCTGACCTTGGACAGCAACCTGATTTTGGTGATTGGCTAGATACGTTAGAAAGTAAAGTAAGTGTGGGAAGTATTAGTAAAAACATTTTGGCTTAGACAATGGAAATTTGTAAATCCGGTAAATATAAATGAGGGGACTTTTATCCAGCTCATAAAACTTTTTCTATATAATGGAAGATTTCGCTAATTTTGAAACAGGTTTTTCCAAACTTATTAAAAAGTTAAAATCCTTTTAAACCATTACTACATACATATATTTTTGATATGATCTATCTACCAAGTTTCATGTTTTGATGTGAATTAGAAAAAAGATCTGGAGTAGAACATACATATATCCAAAGCATTGCTTATACCATTTCAAGCGTCAAATAATTCCATAAGATGTATAGAAAAAGTTCCAACTGACAGACAGAAAGACAGACAGACTGATACCTAGCTAATTTTCAAATTTTGGTTTTTAAGGTGTACTTTGAACTTAAATATATTGATATATATATGTATAAATGCAAAATATATGTTGATACCAATTTCAATAGAAAGTTTAATTTATAGTATTTAATAAAAAAACAAACATATTGGCTAATGCCAGAGCTGCTGAATAAAAGATAAATAGTTATACAAGGATGCATAGCTTACATTATTCAAAATACCACTACATTGACAACAACACTTAAGTAAACTGCATCTTTTATTGTCGACATGTTTCGTCTATTAGATCGGCGTCATCAGGACATCATTATTCAAAATAGAAATATACATTTTTTTATTGCAGAATAAAAAGGATGCAAAAACTAGTCACGTTTCAAAAGACAAAAGTGAGTAAGATAATATTAACAGGTGTAAAAAAACCAATGCAGATAAAAAAATAATATTGTGATTTTACAATATGTGACATATTCCAAGCTCCAAACAAAACATTTTTTTAGTTTCTGTTTGAATTGCTTCTTCTGAGATGATTTTTAATGAGCATTCAGATGATTTTTAATGAGCAGTCAGATGATTTTTAATGAGAAGTCAGATGATTTTATTTTATTTTATCTAGTGATTATGCAGGCCCTTAGATTTCCTTCAATTCGTGGACAGCATGTAAGCCATAATAGGAAGTTGTCATCCTTGAATGGGAAAGGTTCATTGTGTAAACATGCTTGAATAAAAACAGCCAAAAAATTGACATCTAGTAATCCATTATTTCTCAATTCATGTTTCTTTTTACAAAAAACAATGTACCTACACCATAATATGTAATACAATCTCACAGCATTATTTATGAGCTGTTTTCCACAGTGATGACAGTAATGTTTTAAATGTCCTAGAGAAGGGGTGGATCCAGGGTTTGAGGTAAGGTTGTTTTTTTATGTCTGTGTGAACACAGAAAAAAAATGAAAATAATAAAGAATTGTTCACCAATTTTAAATGTAATGAAAAGTTAGAATTTTATGTTTTATGGTGTCCATATAGTTTATGTAGCTAGAGCTCTGATATTATAGATTATCTGATATTCTTTCAATTGACATTGTAAAATATAATTTGTGAGCTACACTGTGAAGCTTCAATGCTTGTGATTATTGGAAACAATTCAAAAGGTTTCATAGTGTGTGGAGTGGCTGATGTTTTACGATGCATAAGAATGTTTTACTAAGTTAGAACAAACAAAAATATCAGTATCTTGGAATCTCATGGTCTTATTGCTGGAAGTTTAACAATACCCATTAATGTTTTGTTTCAGTTGATGTGCTTGGTACTGATGTAATAAAGAAAAAGAAAAAGAAGAAAAGAGACAAAGAAGAAATGGTAAAGCCATAGGAAGTTATCCACATTTGTATTTATTCAACTTTAAAAAAAAATAAATAGAATTGAGTGTTTGCAATAAGTTATGATTTTAAGCAAAAAATCAAACTTCAGTCTTTCAGGTGTTTGTACTTATTCAGTATTAAATCCTGTGAAGGATAACATTGAATTCCCATATGTATTCTATGAAATTCATCTCTTCAATTCTCTGTATCATGTCAAAAAGCATGTCATACTAAATGATGTGTTTATTAACCCTTACCATGCAGGTTTTATCTTTTGATGGGTTAGGTACCACTTTGGGTTTCAATCCTCTCATTGTTGCATAGGTCCTTGTTAACACAATCAATGGAATTAAATAGACATAACTCAAAATCACTTTATTACATTTATTTTAACTCTAACCCTCAAATCACAGGATAATGTCATTTATAGTATACAAAATTTCCATTCCATTTCTCCATTGAAAAGAAATCATATAAAATGAACAGAGTTATATAAAGGACAATGAAAGAATCATTAAATTACATCATTTAGAATGGAGCAAATTTATCATAAAAGAGAATTATGAAATCAATACGCTATTCACGACACCCATGATGTTCGATCGTCTCAGGGAGGGTTAGTTCATTTCCAATTTAAAGAATATACTGTGGATTCATTTATTTTTGTGGGTATCAATTTTCGTGGATAGAGAAAAAAAGACGTTTCGTGGTATACGTAAATTCGTGGATCGCTGATTACCAAAAAAAAAAAAAAAATCAGATACGTAATTCGTGGATTTCTTTTTGATTTAGGAGATCATATAACCTCCTTGGTTTGATCAATAATAAAACAAACAAAAAAGAAGGAAGGAATTCATTGAAAAAGTTTTGAATTATCAAAATCCTCGCTTGGTCATTCTAGGTTAAAGTGTTCATTGAAAACTATTACAATAATGGACAGAGACAACTAATTATTTGTTTGTTTTACAATTTATAAATTCTTGTCGGAATTTTATAAGGCATTCAAAACTCTATGATTGAAAGCTCATTTCCCTAATCACGATATAATAAACAGTCATATAAGTAAAAGGTGTAAAAATAAATGTTCCTGTCATAAACAATATTACCTACGGGCAATATCCCCGTACTTAATCCTATTGATTTTTAATCACCAGTAAACCAAACTATGACACGGTAATTAACAACTTGCAGTTATTTTCCATGAACAGTTTTAATCAATTTTAAAAAGTAAATTATCACTGATATTCGATATTTTTATTATTGATTTAATCAAAATACTTGTATCTTCTTTCATTAAAAACACGTGTTATGTTACAATGTTTATCGCTAGTCAACACTATACTAGAACTGCATAACATAACCGGAAATAAACATCCAACTCCATACACATTTCTCAGGATTATTCTTCGTTGAATTCTTAAATTCGTGGTTCGCTGTGACCCACGAAACCCACGAAAAATTGGTATACCACGAATAAAAATGATTCCACAGTATACATCGGCTAATTTAAATTGTATTCTACGGAGTTTAGTGACATATATATAGAAACAGTGGGTGACAGAAATGTTTTTTTCATAGTCATCAATAAGTTTATAACTATGTCAAAACTCATAGAATTTTACGTAAATTGGTCAGAAGCTTATTTTTATTATCAAAATTCCACTGCAAAGTAATGCAAATATTTTTTTCTATTATCCCTTATTTTATGATTAAGAGATAATGTCTGAAGCAAAATTTGAAAATATGTGTATTTTATTTTTAATTTTTCAGTATTTTACTGAAAGATGGACTTAGCTTTTTTCAGTTGAAATTTACAGACTTTCCTTATTACCATTATCTCATTCAAAGTGGATAAACCCTTAAAATGTAAGCTTTTAAACATCCATGCAAACAACTGTTTATCAAATTCTCTTTCATTTTCAGGTTGATGATGACAAGAAAAAAAGTAAAAAGAAAGACAAAAGTAAAACAAAAAAAGAAAAGAAGAAGAAAAAGAAAGATTCAGATGAAGAAGATTTAGAAACTTTTTTAAATGATGTCCCTTCACAACCAAGTGGAGATTATGATGAATTGTGATGAATGGTTACAGGGGGATTTTAACACATAGCTATATAAGATATAGTTAAATCAATTATGTCAATTAAAAGAAAGAAGCTTGTTATATATATATGCTGAAAAGAGAGTATGCTACTAGTACTACTAGACTACAATGTATGCCATACAAAATAAATCAATATGGTGGCTTTATAGATCACATGAGATCTCAATCTTCAAATTTTTGAATTCCGTAATTTGAACTACTTGATTGTTTGGTAACATGGTATGTTATAAAAAATAAATCAATATGGCGGCTACGTAAAAGTATACATTACATGAGATCTCATATTTCAAATTTTTAATTCCTTTATTTGAACTTAATACATGTACATGTAGTGGTAAAAGAAATTCCAATCAAAATTGGCTGGGATAAACCACTAACCTGCAAGGCATTGACTCTATGATTATAATGGCTATTTTTAAATTATTTTATTACTTTCCTTTTGAATGTTTACAAGAGGGTTTGAGTTATTTGAAAAACAGAAAACATGAATATTTTTTTTAATTATTATTATGCATACAAATTGTTGAGGCCCATCTATAACATTGTCATTATACTGGATCCAGACTTAACCCTTACCATATTGTTGATAGGCTATAGTACATTACAGTGGATTTCATCAACCCATATAAATATAAATATATATATATATAAAACAGTATCCAATTCTTCCAATAAAATAACAAATACTGTACTTTTTTTAATAGGAAAACTTTCAAGTGATTGAAACTGTTCCATGTTAACATATTTACTAGATAAAGAGATTTAAAGTGCTTTTTATGAATCAACCTCTAGGTTATTTTCTTTACACATTTAAGTTAATCCAAACAAAAAGCCAAAATTATATCTGAGTGTAAATATATACTTTTAGGACCATGTGACTTGTGCACAAAAATCATTGTCAGGTGTTAGAATTACCTATGAATAATATCTTGGTTTACTTGATTCCTATGCACTAAGTGATATTTTGAATGGAAATAAATCTAAATATTCTTAATAAATGTGATTCTGCTTTACATACAGAATTGTACATTATGTAAAAACTTACTAATCAATCATGAAACATATTTGCATCTCAGTTCAGGTGATTGTGTTGCCACATGCACCAGAATACTGTAATTCTGAATTTTTTGTGATGTATCATTACTGCAAAAAAACTTGCATTAAAGATTGCAATGGCAATATTCTGGCTCAAAAAATGTTTAAAACTACTATCTTAAATTTGCTTAAAGTTACCTGGTAAAATGAGGTAATTTTGAATGAGACATAAGGGAGAAACCCCACTTGAGCCCCATATTTGAATGCAACATTTTCTGATATTGCATTAATTAGTATTGCCTTTCAATTGCATGCAAAATTCATGTAATAAAAGTTGAACTAATAGTTATTATAGCATTCACATTTGTAAGTTTTAGTGTAAGGATAAATTCAGTATAGTAATTAGTATAGCCTTATATGGGTTGGGTCCTCTAAAGTAAACAGAGGACTTTTGAAGGCTTGAACATAGAAATATTAACCATCTTTTACAAAGCAAAAGTTCCACATTCTTATCTTCCACTGTTGATTCCGTTCCATTGTATACTGAGGTAACATGGTTTACAGAATATACGGAACACAGAAGGTGCTTAATGTGAAAATATTGATGTTGGTAAGCTTTCACAGTTGTGGCTGGTGATATTTTGATTGAATCCGTTTGAATTTTGTGTGTACAGTAAATTAGTGTTATGCAATGTACGGTGAAAGAGATAAAGACTTTGTTCTAGTCAATGGTTATATGTTTAAAATAATGATATTCATGGTACCAAAATGTAATGCTTTAAAATTAAACATCTGTTATGTCAAGTTCCAGACTTGATATTTGAGGGTCTGGATGGGGGGGGGGTTCCTTCATTTCTGTATTTTTTATTTTTTAGCCAGTTTTTCTCCATTATTCATATTTTTTGGCACATTATTCTCTATTCTTTATTTTTTTTGGTCCATTTTTCTCTATTCTTTATTTATGTTGCTCTTTATTCTGCACATTTTGCTTATTATTCTCTATATTGTAAACCCCATCCAGACCCTCATATTAAGTATATTTGTTAAGATATTACGAAATGGATTTTGTTTTTAAATAGTTTTTAAAATGTTTTAATTTAATGTGATATTGAAAAGTGTGGTATGGTTGTATTTGTTAAGTTTGTTTAGAAATGAGTTCAATTTGGAAACTCATCATTGCAAAAACAAAAATGCATATTATTTTAATTTTTCTTTGTTTATGCCAAAAATGTATTCTCTTATAATTTATGTCAAAAACTTATTTGAGAAAAGTACACAACTTGTTCCATATCATTGCAAATTTTGAATAAATTTGAAAAATCATGTTTTGTTATGCATCTTAGTAATATTCATTGGAGGTGGTATTGTATCCACTGCATTGTGGATGGTATTCTACCAAGCACATAGCATTGAAGAGTTGTAAGAGCAATCTGCTTGGATTCATAAAAATGTGTTTGAGTAGATTGATAGGTATATTGATACCTCATTTACATAATATAGATCTGAATATGCATGTGAAAGTTGAAGCTGGAAAATCAGCATTCATCAATTAACCAATCAAAAGCTTTGTTGCATAGAGATGCTTACCTGTGTAGAAGATAGGTAGAACTTCAGAGAATTTTCATTATATATTTAATTAGTGTCTACTGGAGAAAGTGTGTATTCATTGTATGTGTCATTGAATCTACCGAATACAAAGAATAGTTATAGATTATCGTTGGTTATCTCAACAAGATTGATTTTCTCACTTGAGCCGATACGGCGAAAGTGAGAAAAGCAATCGAGTTGAGATGACCAATGATAATCTGTTTCTCACTATTTTACATATGAAGACATTGTTATGTTCCTTGACAACAGCACGTGTTCCCTTAGTTTCTAGCGATAATTTTCATATCACTCGCCTCCGTTTTCATATCACTCGACTCCGCTGAGAACGGAAATTATCAGTCAGCAAGATCAAAGGAAAAATTTGTAAAATAGCGATAATAGATTTTATTGAAATATCAACATCTTTAGACAGGACATAAAGTTGACATAAGTTACGCTTAATAATGTAAGAGGATCTAGACGGGGTTTAAAGAATAGAGAATAATGGACAAAACGTGCAGAATAAAGGGTAAAATGAAATAAAGAGTAGAGAAAAATAAGCAAAAAGAATAAAGAAAAGAATAATGGGGTGCTGAAATATAAAGTATAAAGAATAATGGGCAAAATAAATAAAGAAAAATTTAAAAATATCTTTACTTACATCTAGAAATTGGCGACGAGAATCGGTTGAGAACTAAACGTTATGATAAAATAGATAAAGTTTTCCTATTGTGAACTTTCCATTTCTATGTATCAACATTCAAGCAGCGCCTGCAAATGGATTATATATCTCCAAGTTGATACAAAATTCAAGAGCTTGCATTTCCTGTCATGATTTCCTAGTTAACGGATTGCTGCTTACAATGAAGCTTCTGAACAAAGAGTTCCACCCTCCAAAAGTTTTTTTTGTTTTGGACGCCACCATGATTTAATTAAATGCTATGGAATATCTATCCCACAGTTAACTACGGATATTTCCAAATGTCATTGCCAGTATCTGGTACTCTTCCTACATTGGAACTAGGGATTATTATGCTTTACTTTGATGAGATGTCAATGGCATAGTATTATTATCTGTACTTTTGAGTTTAAAAGATATCTTTCCATTTTTATACGCCCGTTTACGGGACGTATTATGGTATAGCGTTGTCCGTCCGTCTGTCTGTCATCAACATGTCGGACATTAACTCAAAAACGCTTTAACCAATTTGCATATAATTTTGGTGAGTTGTTTATATCTATTGACGTGAGCTCCCTTTCGTATTTTAAAATTTTTAAATTTTACGTTTCAGAGTTATGGGGTTTTATTCATGAAAAAAAGGGGGGTTTTCCAGTTACGGACAATAACTCAAAAATGCTTTCACCAATTGCAAGAAATTTTGGTGAATTGTTTATATCTATTGACATGTCCATGATGAGCTCCCTTTCGTTTTTTATAAATTGTAGATTTTACGCTTCAGAGTTATGGGGTTTTATTCATTTCCGTTCTCTAACTTAAGTTTGCCTCAACCAAATGTTATGAAACTTATACACAATGCTTATTACCACAAAACACAGATCAAGTTTGAATTTTGGTGGCGTCACTTTAACTGTTCTAGAGTTATGCCCCTTTATAAATGGAAAAATTGCAAAATATTTATTTTCTTCTAAATATCAAGTAATTTTTAAAATTGGTGTTATCTTCCTTTGTCCATGATTATAGTTGAATCAACTACAACCAATACTTTACACAATGCAATGTTTAATTTTGACTTCCACTGATAAAACACAGATCAAGTTGAATTTGGGTAGTGTCACTTTAACCATTATTGAGTTATGCCCTTTATAAATCGAAAGATTGCAAAATTTTGAGTTTCCATTCTGGAACTTAAGTTTGCCCCAACCAAACATTATGAAACCTATACACAGTATTTATTACCACAAAACTAAGATCAAGTACAAATTTTTTGTTTCCGTTTTCTAACTTTAGTTTGCCTCAACCAAATGTTATGAAACTTATACACAATGCTTATTACTACATAATACAGATTAAGTACGAAATTTGGTGCGACACTTTTACCATTCTGGAGTTATTTCCATTAATTAACATAAAAATTGCTGATTTTTTTGTTTCCGTTCTCTAACTTTAGTTTTTCTCAACGAAATGTTATAAAACTTATACACAACCTTCTAGAGTTATGCGTGTTTACAAATAGAAAAATTGCTGAATTTTTAGTTTCTGTTCTCTACTTAAGTTAGCCTCAACCAAATGTTATGAGACTTACACACAATGCTTATTACCACAAAACTCAGACCAAGTTCAAATTTGGGTAGCGTCACTTTTACCGTTCTTCAGTTATGTCCCTTTATAACTATATGATATGCAAGCGGGGGGCATCATCTGTGTCCACATGTGGACACTATCCACATTTTTTCTTTTCTTTTCCAAATCCTCAGTGCACGACACATGTTTTTTTTTGGTTCTCTAATTTTCTCAGCGCACAACATTAGTTTTCCTTCGCCGATTTCTCAGGGCACGACACATGTTTTCCATCTCCAACTTCTTAGAGATGGTTTGGTACATTGTTTAAAGGGGCATTAGCTAAAAGATATAAAAAAAGTTTTTTTTGTTCAATCATTAATGAAAGTGAAATAGCGAAATAATAATTCGCTTTTAGAACCAGTTTGGATCAATTTTGTCAAAATAAGCTTAGAAACATCGCTGATGAATTATTCACTTGCAAGTGAATAATTCGACCTCATTGAATCCGTATTCATGTGACCTTCAATTTAAACCCTTAGCTAGAGATGGGTTACACATGAATTAGGCGTGTTCAGTTAGTAAAAGGAAAAGAATGCCAACATTGAAAGTGAAACAAGGGTAAACCATTTGATTGACTGATTCGTTCACAAAAACTCATTCTTATAAGGTAAAAACGATGATTCACATATATTTTTAATCTATTATATGAAATCAAACAGACCTAGAAAAATCCAATTGCACGATCTCGCTATCTATTTATATGTATATTTATGTTTATATCGGGTTATATGACCGTCGGCAGTCTTCGGAGGTCACCAGTGACCTCAATAGTTAGTTAGATGGCGTCTAGACTGAAATACACGATACATATTATCGAGCCCATGCATTGTAAATTGTCTTACACTTTTTTTGCAATTTAGATATACGTTTTAGTATGTTATAAATCAAATATGAGAGTTTGAGTCAAATCGGTGAACATGAATTTGACAGCTAATGCCCCGTTAAAGATGTACACAAGTAATTATAACCCGAATAATTCAGTCGTTATATTCCGCTGATCTACGATTTCTTCATTAACTTGCAAGTAGGAGAGATCGATTACGAGTCGGGAATGAATTATTCGGGTTAAAGTAATCATAATGTCTGTCTAATAAATTTTACTACGCTCTACATATTGTTCAACCTATCGGGTCTAGATTACACACCTGTGCAGTGATAATTAAGGCCCCTTTTGATTTTACACCATTATACTTGCCAATATTACCCCTATGTAAGAGGATGTTATAGAGATATAAATATCCATACGTAAAGTATAAGCAAACGTCGATAGAAAAACGTGAATTTTAAAACTGTTATTCAAAGATATCCTCTTTCCTTTTGTCCATATTTAAAATTGAAGTATAAATTAAGTTACTGCATGATAAAACGTACAAAACATTTGTTTACTGTGGATTATTTAAAAACCAAGATTAATCTTTAACTATATATTTTCGGTGTATGAAAAAATCTTTTTTTTTAGAAAAATTCATTGGATGTGTACTATTTGATAGTCTGGACGAGCATGTGTCATTTATTAGTGAACTAGCTTTAATTAAGTAATTGCAAGTACTCGTGTACACAGTTTATTGTGTCTATTATTTTTATGTTAGTTTTTTGTGCTTCGTATCGATCCATCGAGTGAAGCCATTTGCAACTGAATTTTACAGTAACTGTTTGTTCTTAATTTATGCTGTTACACCACAGGCACTCACTGACCAGGGTTTAGTGGAGGGTTGAGCGCTCACAAACATGTAACTCCGTCACATTCTTTATGTGACCGTCCCATTTTAGGAGCCTGTTAATGCCTGTCATATTTGTTTTTCGTAAATTATATTGTTATAAATTAAGCTGTTGGTATTCTCTTAATTGTTTTTCATTTTCATGTCGGCGCCTTCAGGTTTACTGTGAGATTATAAATCACAATAAAAGAAGTTCATAGATTTATTTTTATTTGAGCATGCAGTAAAAATACTGAAATTGTGCCATATAATCATGTTTGCCTTTAAAGATGACTTCTTTTTTATTGAACTTTTTTTTGGGGGGTGGGGGCACTTGAAATTGCACCCTTATATATTGACTACCATGATATATAGTTTAATTGAACCGCTAGAAGATCTCTTTTTGCAGGTGATTGTTCTGTTGGCAAATATATATGAGCTGTAATGAATAACTGTAATCATAACAATAAGCATGATTGTAGATAATAAATGATGTCAGAATTTTCTTATCTTTATATTATGGTTTGCCGTTTGGGTGAACAGATGTTGTTCATATCTAAATAGTAACTCCAAAATCTCAAAATGAGGCTATTTTGACTGTTTGTTCAAGAAGTTAGAAGCCCTAACGCAAATATGTAGGACAAAATTTAAAAAATAAAATACTGATATCTGACAGATTTATTTTTTACATCCAAGTGGCCAAAAAAGTGGCCTGATCATACTTTCTCCTTTGTCTA